TATATGTTATGAGTTCATAAAAAATGAAAAAAAATTCAAATAGAGAGAGAGAGATAACAGAATTATGTTGATATGTATGTACAAGGATCAAAATATGAAGGATCTCAATATCGAGTATCTCAACATCAAGAATTTAGAGAAGAAGTTCAAGACCAAGCTGAAGGATCTCAAAACATAGCAGAAAACTAGTCACTATATGGTTAGCGGAAACCAGTGACCCTTTAATTTAAGTTTTTAGTTTTTAAAATTTCTCTTATGAAACTATGTTTACCTTTATCCAATATCATATATATTAAATTCTGTTATAAATTTATATTTTGTTATTTTTTTGTTAATGTTGAATTTTTTTTCTCTTTTTTAAAATTTAGTTTTTAAATATATATATATATATTAATTTACATAATATATATAAGAACAAAAATTATTTATGTTATTCATTCAAATAGCACAAATTTAAAAATATTTGTGTTATTAATAATATATATATATATATATACATATATATAGAAGAGCGATCAAATGCAAACTACCCAATTTGTACAAATTGTGCAAACCACCTTTATCCGTCAATTTCATTGTTTAATCTTATTAAAAAAAATTATGAAATTGTTTAATCTTGTGAAATTGTTTCATATAATACTTATTTTATGAAGTTATTTCATATATGGTTATGAAATTGTTTCATATAATATTTAATGAAATTTAATGAAACTGTTTCATTATTTCACTAAAATTAAAATGATGAAGATGATAATATCCATGATTTACACTCTTCATAATAAAAAATAATTAATCAACCTCTCATAACTACAATAAAAATGAATAAAATGAAAAATTATGATTGGTTGAATAAGACTTGTACGATTTATACAAATAACGTGGTTTGTAAAGTAATATGTGTGTATGTGTTAATTTATATTATTTAATTGAAAATAGAGGTGGTCCCCACCTTTTTGCCGTGGAAAGAGACCCGACATGTATGTCATCTATATATGTTGGCCGGCAAAACAAAACCTAAATTGCCGGTAGGTTGAAAGGGTAAATTTGGGCATTTACCGGACGATTGGAGATGTTCTTAATGGTTGCTTTGGGAGTTGGGAGGAGTTATGGTCTGGACTCTAGAGTGAAAGGGCCGGTGATGTGGAGAAGGGGGATGCCGGTGGTGGTGTTGGGGTTCATTAGAGAAGGGATTAACGATTGCTTTGGGAGTTGGGAGGGGTTCTAGTTTGACATTGATCAGGTGAGGCAACCGTAAACACGTTCTCCAATGACTAAGTAATCAAGTTACACTTTTGGTTCCTTTAGTTTTTTAATTAAGTTACAATTTTGGTCCCTCTAATTGGCACATTTATTTATCTAAAAAAATGTCCGTAAAAATAAAAAAAGACCAAAGTAAAGGGATCATATTTGCATACCAGGAAGATGAATTTGGAATTTTGAAATAAAAAACATATAATCCATAGTTTCATTCAACAATATATTGTCTTTGCAACCCAAATTAATATTGTTGTGTTGATCTCTTCCATCGCCTTAAGGCTTTTTTTTTTTGATTTAGTGATTCAGTTTTTTCTTAGTATATATTAATTATTAAATCATAATAACACCAATTATTCAATTCATCCTCTCTAGTCTCTAGCTAGCTAGTGGCTTGTCTAATTTAATAAAAAAGTTTTATGTCATCTATACATTCTATTAGTAAACGTGTATAAAACGTAAAGCATCCGGTGTTTCAATTTGAAAAGAAAGAATCGGATATATGCCTTGGTGGCTATATCAAGTAATTAAGGTTGTTATGTTATGTGTTGTTCGATTACAATCAAAGACTAAATCATTATCTTGCTTCTTGCTTTATATATATATATATATATATATATGTTACTTTCTTCTTTGATATTGTTGACAAACAACTAATACAATATCTCTCTTTGTTTCGGTAACAAATATTGATTTTAATTTGAATGTATACAAACTTCATGAAAGGATTTCCTTCAAGTTTGTTATAATTTTTGTTGGTCAGCGTAAAGGTCTACAAGAGTTTTATAGAAACAGTTTGTAGAAGGGGGGGGGGGGATGAATACAAACACATAAAACTTTTCAAATTTAAAATATATATTGATAAAGAATGATCAATACAAATTTTACAATATTGTATCCATAAATAGATAAAGTAAATATAACTTATCTAAAACAATCTAAGTTACACACAAATGATCTTAGCAAAAAGAAAAGATTTACTGTTAAAACTAAGCAGAAAATGAGTTCTTTTTGGGTAAGATCTTTTTAGAATACTTGAAAAAAGATTCTAACTTGCTTTGAAGATAAGCGTAAGTGTTCTTAGATATGTATGTGTTCTTTCACGTATGCACGTAAGGATTAAGGTATCTCTGCATGGAGATAGTACATATCTAATATACACATTGCATTAAATACACATTTAATGCAATGCAGTAGGGTTTGAACAAGCGTCAAACTTTTAGAGAAAAGTTTGTCTTTTGCTACAGTGAATAATACAAAAGTCTATTCATGAACAAACATCCTTTCATGGAGTTGGTAGGTAGTAGAGTCAACTAATCGGCTTCGTACCGTACTATACTCTAGAAAAAGGTATGAGTTTGTCCTTTGTGTGTGGAAGGACAAGACAAAAGCAATATTGCACAACAAGCTTCATTTGATCGTTGAATGCTGGAATGACCCTGAAGGTCTCTTCAGCATTCGCTGAGGCTTGGGCAGTCTTCACACATATGTTGACCAGGTTGTAATAATTGAATGCCGCTTCAGATCACGAATGCGCTAGTCTCTAATATTCTGTTTCAGTCTTCGACTTTCGATGAAAGTTATTTGGTATGAGTTTTGTCTTCTTGAAGTATCACTGTCGCTGATGGATTTACTGTACATGTCTCAACGATCATTGAATAGACTCAATGATGAACGCTGGAACTGGAAGGCAGAAACATAATACTTTGTAATATATAAAAGAGATTATCATCAAATCAATGAAAGAGAGAATAAACAATTTGTTTTCAAAAGATATTAAAAATAATGTCCTACTGATACATACTACTTATTACTATTTAAATTTAAATTAAAACCCCTTAATTAATTAAGTTGACCAATCAACAGTATAATATTTGTTAGAAAATCGATATCATGAAACTAATCAAACTCTTAATTATAAAGAGAAGGGCTATACATGCATGGGTGTCTTAAGAAAGAATGTCCCAAGCAGATCATATATATTATTGATTCGCTTTAAAATTAATATGTCATATATTGAATTAGTTTTTTTGAATCCAATAAATTAAGAATTAAAGTCAAGTTCTTAAAACGCGACTTGTTATATACATATGTTTTATACTTGAAGAAGTTGATAAAAGTCAAGTTATCCACTAAATACTTGTCGTGTTTACGGTTGGTTGTATGTAAGTTTAATTATAAACTTCATGGCAAAAATATCAATATATGTATTAATTATATTCCCAAAAAAGTTTGTGATATGAGGAGACAAAGAAATCTATATATTCAAACTTAAAATTTGGAGCTAAATGAATTTGTTTTAATTGGAAAGCAATAATGCAACAAAGTGGACGTACACCCCTACACATACCATTATACATATATATGAAGCTTGTTATTGAACTCATCTTGATAATTTTTATATGCATAAATGAATGCCAATTAATTATATTCTCTTTACTTGTATTATGTCTTCACATATATGTTTTTAATTTCAAATATGATATTAGTTTAATTATAACATATATAATAGCCTTTTAATTTAGATTTCGTTTTAAGTGTAGTTGGAGTATAACCCTAAACTCTAAACTATATATATATAAACCATTAGTATATATTGGAATGGATGTAAGGGTACAATTGTACTTGCACAATAAATATATTTCATTTATAATAACATTTCATTTTCTTCATTTCGGTAATATATATATATATATATATATATATATACGAAGAAGGTCCAATCCAATTAATTAGTATGATGTAGAAACTAATACATTAAGGTGGCAGATGGAAGTTAATGAATTAGTAAAAAGCAAAATTAAGAGTTGGAAGGCTCCTCCTCCACTTCCACTTCCACTCCCACTTCCACTTCCAATTAATCCCACTCCATCCATTGATTGTTGATGGCATTGATTTGACAAATATCTAATTAAAAAGGGTACATATATAGATATGAGGACATACCCACAAGGGAGTGTCGTAACATCCATTCAAAAAAGGTGGTTATGGAGCCATGGATGTTCACATCATGTGCTCATCTTCTTCAATTTAATTCCTAATATATATATATAACATATTCCCTTCTTCCATCTCCTAAATTCTTTATGCTGTCATTCAAAGAAAAGAAAACAAAGTTAACCGAGCATCTTACAATTATAAACTAATCTCAACCATAAAATGGTCGTTACCATTTAACTCTTGGTATATGTAATACAAGATGCATGCATGATTCCTGCCGCTAGCTAGCTCGATTGATCTAATCGGTCTTGATGCTACTTTTTTTCAATATATATTTGGCCACTCACATATCCTTTCGCATGTTTCAAGGATTGCTTTATAATCAGAGGGTCAAAGAGTTAACCAAGAACCGTTCCAAAAGAACAAATTGATACCCTACCCTTTGAATACTACCAATACTCGTACATCTATAATTCTCTTCATATTTTTCTTTATATATATATATCCTAGCTAGCTAACAATTAATATCTATCAAGATTAAGATTAATTAAGACGACTATGAATTACTACTACTCCTAATTGTATATTTGTATTCCCATCTTTCATTCTTGTCCCTCCATCTATCTTCTTCGTCGATTCTCTCCCACTCAGGCAAGACCATCCCTTTTTTATTCCCCTTCCACCTTTCCCTCTCTCTTTCTCTCTCTCTCACTATATATACATACATATATATACATATATATTCAGAGCTAGACATAGAGATTTGAAAGATGTAGGTGAGGTAGGAGGTGGGTGGAAGGAGAATAAAATATAATATAGGCACACATATATATAGCTCATGACCAAACACAATCAAAACATATTTTGTCTTTAACATCCACCTTCTATAACACTTGCACTCCAAAACTAGTGAGCTATATATCCAAGTTAACCCAGTATTTAGCTCAATATGACCCATCACTTTTACCTCATTAGCTTCTTCCTCCTTGCTCTCCTGCCAACCATGGTAGCACCACATTGCAAACTGCAGCAGGTTGACAGCAGTACCACCAATATCATCGGACACCACGACTCTCTTAAATACAAAATAGCTGCTATGCTTACCATCCTTTTTGCTGGTGGAGTTGGTGTTACCATCCCTCAGCTTGGTAAGAAAGTGGAAGCTCTCAACCCAGATAATGATATATTCTTCATGATCAAGGCCTTTGCTGCTGGCGTCATTCTAGCCACTGGCTTTATCCACATCTTACCTGATGCTTTTGAACATCTAACTTCTCCTTGCCTTCCTCATAACCCATGGGCTAAATTCCCCTTTGCGGGTTTTGTTGCCATGACCTGTGCCATCGGGGCCCTTGCAATCGACACCTTTGCAACCAGCTTTTACAGAAAGATGCACTTCAACAAGCAACAAAAGCCACGACAGGTGCATGTCGAGTCCGGGAGCACTAGTAGTGATGACCATGCTGCTCATCTTCATGTCCATGCACATGCCACAGATGGCCATGCTCATGGCACCTCCCTCATATCATCTCTTGAATCAGAACTCATCAGGCACCGTATCATATCACAAGTAATATTGCAAACTGAAGTAATTATTATGTATATGTAATACAATGACATTGAAATTACCATGTTTTGTTTTAACTAATTATTAGGTGTTGGAGCTGGGAGTCATCATTCACTCGGTCATAATTGGACTCTCATTGGGGACTTGTCAAAGTATCTCGACCATAAAGTCTTTACTTGCAGCTTTGTCATTTCATCAGTTCTTTGAAGGCATGGGACTTGGTGGATGCATCTCTCAGGTGCTACTTGCATCTCCATATATATATATATATATATATATAGCGTCAGTTGATCACCTTTTGTCTCTTTGGTGTAACAACATTGATTTTCCATATGTAATTCCTAATTAATTAGGCCAAGTAGCTGTAATTTGGTTGGTCTGAAATTTACAAAGTCTTGGGCATGCATGATTATGATTGCAGGCAAAATTTACATCTGTGTCAAGTGCGATGATGGCAATATTTTTCTCCCTCACGACACCAATAGGGATTGCAGTAGGTATTGGAATATCAAACGTTTATAGAGAAGACAGCAATACATCCCTGATAGTGGAAGGAATCTTGAACTCTGCTTCAGCTGGGATATTGATATACATGTCACTGGTTGATCTGCTGGCTGCAGATTTTATGAACCCAAGGATGCAAAGCAATTTAAAGCTTCAGTTAGGGGCGAATGTTTCGCTTCTTCTGGGGGCTGGATGTATGTCTTTCTTGGCCATATGGGCTTAATTAATGAATAGACATACATATACGTACATCATCCATTAGTTAATTAGTAAATTTAATTCCCTTTCTTCTTTAAATATTAATTTTTGGACTATGAATTAATTAACATTCTACATAACTTGGCTATCTCATCTGAATGCAAACTTAATAAGCCAACTGGCTTCAAATGGTGAAATTAATTTAAAAAGGGTGTAGCTACTAGCTATATTTATATATATATATTCGGATTACTACATGTACATGCACACGTACGTGAAATCATTCATGATTTGTTAGCAATGAAAATAATGAAAGAAGCAAAGGAAATTAGACAATGTTATTAATTAATTATTAGTATTATGTATTATGTATTATGTATGTAGGTCTCTAATTGTATATATATAATTGGACAAGTGGGAAGACATGGAATCAAATTATTTATCCTACTTTTGAAAAGAGCTTCCAACTCAACATCATCATCCATCAATTATAAATAATATATATATAAATATATATATATATATATATATATAATATGTTAATTACGATACGTACGCTAGGCCGGGGCTTAATTTGTATTGTTAACATCATTACATTAATTACATACAAGCACAACAACAAACAATTTATTTTCTTTTTGACTTGCTCATTATATATATATATATATATATATATATATATATATATATATATGAGTAGTATAAAAAGAAAAAAAAAAGAATGGGAATTTGATTACAACTTTGCAAAACCATAAACAAATTAACCAAGAAGCAACTACAACTTAATTTACTACTTCTTTATTGATTCCCTTCTTCTTCGTTTTCTGCCACTAATTAATATATATATATATATACAATTCTTAATTATTACCATAAGAAAATAATTCATACATGACCTACGTTCGGAGATTTATTGTTTCAGAAATAACAACTAATTAATGTTATTGTCTATTTATATATCAAACCCCTTGCAAAAGGCACATACATAACATATATAATAAATAAAGGGTTTGGATTTTCTTTTAAAACCAGAAATAACCAGTTTCATTGTTAGCAACTCAACAACCAAATTTTCATTTTGTTAGCAGAAATATATGTGAGACGAGAGCAGAGAGTAGAGAGAAATTGAGAGAAAAGAAAAAGGTAGAAGAAGCTGTATATTTCTGTGTGTGATAAAAGTAAAAGGGAACAGTATTATTTATACAAGAGGAAACTAAACAGCCTAACTAATTAGAACTAACCAACAGAAAATAATAACTAATTCTAATACCCCCCTTCAAGCTGGTGGTTGATTAACTAATCCCAGCTTGCAAATAACATCAGAATGTTTAGGCCCAGGTAATGATTTGGTAAAAACATCTGCAAGTTGTGACTTTGTTGGCGTAAATTCCACAGCAATGACCCCTGCTTGTAACTGTTCTCTGACATAATAACAATCCAGTTCAATGTGYTTTGTCCTTTCGTGAAAAACCGGRTTGTTAGCAATATGTATRCTTGCAAGATTATCACACTTCAAAGCAATTGGAGTAATGTTTTCCACTCTTAAATCTGCCAAAAGTCTGCTCAGCCATGTAAGTTCAGTTGTAATTCTTCTCATAGATCTAAATTCAGCCTCGGCTGAAGACAATGAAACTGTTACTTGTTTCTTTGACTTCCATGATATAGGACTCCCCCCAAAAGAAACAAAGTAACMACTTACTGRCCTTCTGGAAAACGGACAAGATGCCCAATCTGAATCACAATAAGCAGAAAGAGAGAAATCTGATTTGTCATTGAAAAATAACCCAAAAGAACCAAATACTTTCAAATACTTCAGAACGTGTARRGCAGCATCCCAATGAGCTTTTGAGGGATTTTGATTAAACTGGCTRAGAAACTGAACACTAAATGCCAAATCAGGCCKAGTATGAACCAAAAAATTGAGTTTYCCCACCAACTTTCGATATTTGCTCGGATCTTCTAAAGGATTAGGCATGTCTGGCATGAGTTTCAAATTACAAGGTAACGGAGTKGTCACCTTTTCAGCAGTTGTAATACCATACTCATCAAGTAACTCAGTGAGRTATTTCTTCTGAGTTAGAAAGATTCCTTGATCACTTCGCAAGAACTCCAATCCCAAAAAGTAATTAAGAAGRCCTAARTCTTTGATTTGAAAAGTTTTATGCAAAAACTTCTTYAACTCTTCTATTTCAGAAATACAATCTCCGGTCAYGATGACATCATCAACATATACARCCACWATGGTGAAMGACTCTTTTGTMTTTTTGAGAAACAAAGARTAATCATTYTGAGAATGATGAAATCCTCTTGCTTTTAATGCYTCAGATAACTTTGAATACCAYTGACGAGAAGCCTGCTTCAAACCATATAAAGACTTCRTAAGTTTGCAAACATAGTTATCATTTGTGCAAACCATACCTTTGGGTCTTTTCATGTAAACTTCTTCATGCAAATCTCCATGTAAAAAAGCATTGTTGATGTCTAACTGATGAATGGGCCAATGTTGTTTGACARCAAGTGCTACAATGCATCTGATAGTAGTAAACTTGACAACCGGAGAGAATRTCTCAYAATARTCTTCATTCTGTTTTTGAGTGAAGCSTTGTGCTACCAACCGTKCTTTATATCTTTCARTTGTCYCATCTTKATTGAACTTGGTTTTGTAAACCCATTTACATCCTATAGCACGCTTTCCTGCAGGTAAAGGAACAAGCTTCCAAGTTCTATTTGCTTCTAAGGCTGCAAATTCTTTTGCCATAGCTTCTTGCCAAAAAGGATTAGAAACARCTTCCTCATATGATTTGGGATCAACAACAGAAATTATATTTGCAACAAAAGATTGACTAAAACTATTTAAAGCAATTGGATACTGATTCTGAGATGAAACACATAGATTAGTCATAGTATGAGGACATATTTCAATATAAGGCATTGAAGCATCTGAAGAAACATGATTGCAAACAAAATCATCAAAATGAGAAGGTTGTTTAGAAGCTCTAGAAGATATGCGTAATGCAGGAATGGTAACCGATTCAACATGATCAAGATTTCGAGACTCTTGTTCAGTATGCACAAACTCAGATTCTAACTCAGATTCTGTGATTGGATGACTTGGTGACTGGGATGCCGTTTGGACAGGTATATCAGAAGAATGGATCGAATCAAAGCTTTCGGGTTCAACATGATCAGAAGAAACAGGATTAGAAGTTTGAGTAGGAAATGGCAAAACATGTGTATTTGGTGAAGGAAGAGGTTTGGTAAAAGGAAATTCATTTTCACAAAATTCAACATTTTGTGAATATGAGATTTTTTGGGTTTCAAGATGCATAACTTTGTATGCTTTCATATCAAAAGGATATCCTAAAAAAATGTGTGGATCAGCTCTGGATTGCAATTTATGTMTGTCTACATGATTTGTGGAAACGAAACACAAACATCCAAAGGGTCGTAAATGGTCATATTGTGGCTTGGCTTTGAATAAAAGTTCAAAAGGAGTAAGATGATTTAACACTTTTGAAGGCATTCTGTTTATGAGATATGCTGCAGTCAAAACACTATCCCCCCAAAAATTTAGAGGTAATGCAGATTGGATCATCAGGGCTCTGGCTGTTTCAAGAAGATGTTTATGTTTTCTTTCAACTCTTCCATTCTGCTGAGGTGTGTATATGGGCAAGCTAATTGATGAATAATACCTTTGGAAGAGAAGAAATTTTTTCCTTCAATGCTATTGCCCAATTCTTTGGCATTATCAGTCCGAATCACTTTAACTGTTTTATGAAACTGAGTTTGTACAAACTGAACGAATGAYTTTATGATATGAAAGGCTGCACTTTTGTGTTTCAACAAATGAATCCAAGTTGACCTACTRTAATCATCAACCATAGTGACAAAATATTTGTGTCCATCATATGTAGGAGTATAAAATGGACCCCAAACATCAACATGAAGCAAATCAAATATAGAATCAGAATTGGATTGACTAATGGGAAAAGGTAACTTKTGTTGTCTAKCTTTGTGACAWAYAACACATGAATGAAACAAATCTTTATTACAAGCATTYGGAGCAAGATTTATTTGTTTTAGCTTGTACAAAGGAAGATGACCAAAAYGTAAATGCCACAAGGAAACTATCTTGTTACATTTATCTAGCATAACAGTACTAGATGCAGAAAAACTATCGGAATCAGAAATCTTGACTTGGTTGGAGTTTAGCAAGTAGAGATTTCCAACCCTTTTACCAAGTACCAAGGGCTTCTTGGTGAGAGGGTCCTGCATATAACAATATGTATCARAAAAATAAACGGGAGATTTATATGTGGAACACAACTTGGATACAKAAAGAAGATTATAATGAAATGATGGAACATATAGCACATTACTCAGAATTAACGAATTGGATAGAGTAATGTTTCCAATTGACTCAACAAACAACGTATTACCATTAGGTAAAGAAATTTTGTGAGATTTAGGAAGTTTTGTGAGAGTAGAAAACAAAAACTTATGACTGCACATATGATCAGATGCGCCAGAATCAATAATCCAAAAACTAGAAATAGGAGTAGCCAAACTTTTACCTGCACATGCAGCAAATCCACTTCCTTCTTTCTCTATGATAGAATCGGATGAACTGCTAGAATCAGATGAACTGCTGGAGGAATTCTGTCCAGAATTTGAGATTGCAGTCTCTTTAATTTTGCAATTATTGATAAAGTTCATGATCTGTTAGTAATCATGATTGGAAATTTCAGCATTTCCTTCAACAACATTAACAAAGGAAGAAGATCTCCTTGGATTATTGAACTTGAAACTTTCTGGAAAACCGATCAATCTGTAACATTCTGCCTTAATGTGACCTTTCTTCTTACAGTAATTGCAAACAAGATTTCTTTTCATTTCAGCATTCATGAATACCTTTGCTCGTGCAGAATTATTTTTATTAGCCAGCATTGCCATTCCTTCAGCGTTCAACTTCACAGGGCAGTAACTTTCTTTGCTGTTCTTCTTGAATCAATGTCGCATAAGCATCAGCAATATTAGGAGTAGGTTTTTCATGAAGAATATTACCTCTAACTTGCATGTAGCTATCATTTAAACCAAAAAGAAACTGCACTAATTGCTGCCTTTCCATGCGTTTTATCCAAGCCTCTCCTGCAGTACATGTGCAATTAGGTAAATCATCAATTGCTGCAAATTCATCCCAAATTCGTTTGAATCTGGAGTAATATGTGGTGATCGAATCATCTCCTTGAGCTATTTGATTCAATTCTTTCTGCAATTGAAAAACTACAACCAGATTCGATTGTTCGAACATATGAYGCAACTGTTTCCAAATCGCACTTGCTGTTGTGTAATATATCAGTCCTTCAGAGATTTCTTTAGTCATTGCATTAAKAATCCATGTAATAACAATGGAATTGCATCTCTCCCAATCATCATAAGTTGGATCATCTTCTGCAGGTTTCTTTGTCCTCCCATTTACAAAACCTAATTTGTTCTTCACAGAAAGNGAATTGCATCTCTCCCAATCATCATAAGTTGGATCATCTTCTGCAGGTTTCTTTGTCCTCCCATTTACAAAACCTAATTTGTTCTTCACAGAAAGTGCCAAAGACATCGCACGCTTCCAGGCTCCAAAACTCTTTCCATCAAAGATCTTCGTGACCAGCATCGTTCCAGGATTATCGCTTTGACTCAGAAACAAAGGATTCGAATAAGCAGAGGCATTCATGTTCTTATTCGCTGTTTCTGTTTGTTTATCAGTCATATTGAGACTGACGAAGAAGAAAGAAGCGAGAACAAAATTGAACAGGAAGGAATTGAAATTGAAGAATGAAAAATGAGAAGAAAGTCAGATTTGATTGTGTTGCTCTGATACCATGTGAGACGAGAGCAGAGAGTAGAGAGAAATTGAGAGAAAAGAAAAAGGTAGAAGAAGCTGTATATTTCTGTGTGTGATAAAAGTAAAAGAGAACAGTACTATTTATACAAGAGGAAACTACACAGCCTAACTAATTAGAACTAACCAACAGAAAATAATAACTAATTCTAATAATATATGAGGGCGAGGCGACTACTACAACAAGTGTAAGGACTAAATTCGTTACTTTTCGAAAAATGTTTCTTGTGCCTTATATTGGAAAAAGCCTCAAGACCTGAAAGCAGTCCCAACTTATCAATGTTGCTCTCTACCCGGATAACCAGGTGTCTGGCTCTTCCAACGTCCACCACCGCCACCCTTCAAGATATCGCTTCAAACCAACCCAATGGTCATCTCTCCCTCCCTCCCTCCCTCCCTCCCTTCCTCCATTTCTCTGTGTATGTATCTGCTTTATCTGTACTCACTTCAGAGTATGTATTATGCGAATTCCTGATGAGGAACTTCGTGCCGGAATCATTAAAGATTAGAATTTAATACTTGGGATGGGATGCTTGAATTTCTTTTTTTCACAACCGACTTTGGGGGATAACTGATTTCCTGATTTACTATGGGGAATGCAACCTAATAGGTGTGTCATGTGTTCTTTTCCAACCCCTATCATGTTTTAACATTCTGCTGCTGCTTTGTTTGGACACCTTATGTGTTGCTTATAATTTAGCAAATCCGACAGTTGGGTGTGGGTGTTCATGCGCCAAGTCTAAATGGCATGCCAGCGACCAAATTAAACTAGTAATTCCTTCGTCCAATATGTGTTATGCCTGAAACAACTAAATTCATCCCATCCTGCAATGTGCGCCTTGATATAATTCCATTCATATGTTTAAATTACTTCAATTCATCCATTCTCTAAAATGTTTGATAACTACATTTAGACTTCATGAAAATGTATTCCAATTTGATTGATGTTGGTTGTGAACTAGTACCAAAATCTAAACCTATTTTTATGTAATATCTACCAGCTGTGATATTGACAAGTTTAAACATTTACCATTTTTGGTTATTATGCCATTACTTCATGGATGTATTGGCTATCAAGTGATCTGACTCTGAAAAATCTCAGGCTAGATGTACTTGGATATATGAGTCATTCATGGATGATGCCTTGTGTTTTTCTGAATTGAAAGACCCATTGCAAATATAACTTGTTTTCATTCAGGAGTAGACAAGCTCAAAGTTTAAGGCTTCGGAAAATATTTTGCAAGTGTACAGAAAACTGTGACTGGATAAGTCCTCCGCCTTTTGTAATGGAAAGACCTTAAGCTAGACTTACATATATATTTTCTGAAAAGATGATTGAATTTTTTGGTTGCTTGTTGTATTATTCAAGTGATCGTTATTGAAAGATCCTTCATCTTTCACAATTCATACAGTTACAATCTGCAGATGTCACTGTTTTTAGCTGTAGGGACACAAAGTCCAAGAGAAGAAAAGGATGCTAACATTGATAGTTCATATATCAACCGAATGGTTCATATCATCATATGTGTGTCTTGGTGTATGTATATTTTCAAGAAAAAAGTTTTTCCCTTCCTTTTTTCCTTCCATATCCACATTCCTGTTACTATGATTCTATCTTTCAGCCTTTTCCTTAGCAAGTGGATGCTCCCATGAGTGTCTGCAAGCATGGTATGCTTTTCAATTCTGGAATTATTTTGAGCATGGATATTTCTTTCTGACATTTCATATATGGCCTTAGCATGTTCTATAAAGTATTTGTGTAATACCAATTACCAACAAATAATAAAATGTGTACCTTGTTGATTAGTAATGGGATTTTTTTGCAGGTATTGCAAAGGTTATCCTAAAGAGAGGGAAAACACAGCTCTTTCGTGATGGAAGCCCAATGGTTTATAGTGGTTCAGTTGATAGAATCATTGGTAGACCACCCCCGAAAACAGGTGACATTGTGCTGGTGGCTGACGGGACACAAACGCCAATCGGTTGGGGCTTGTACAATTCTTTCTCTATGTTCTGTGTTAGGCTCATGCAGCTAGAGGAGGAAGTATCAGGGTATGTATTCTTCAAGAATGTTTTGGCAACATGATGTTACTTAAAGTGCAAAGTTTTTCTTTTTCTAAATTTCGATTGAATGGTGCAGAGATCCTTCTTGTGCATTGAACGTGGAGAAGTTGCTTGAAACAAGAATAGATGCAGCAATCAAATTACGTAAGAATTTGGGGATCCCTTCTGCCAATACGAATGCATATCGTCTTATAAATAGTGAAGGAGATAGGTATTATGTTTTCTTTTGGTCAATAGATGTGCATATATTTTGAAGCGTCCTATGCCCTTGAGAATGAGGTGGTGATATATACATGGTTTATGGTTATTGTTATGGAAACAATATGCTATGGAAACAAAATCACATTTTGAATAGGAAACTTGATGTTGGTGATTTTAGTGTCATCAATCATCTTAGTGTAGTTGTGATTTATTTGAGATCAATTTAGGTGATAAGGCAAACATAATGTAAGTTAGAAGGTGCAGAGTGCACACTCACAAATGTTGCCTCTATCACCTTAGAGCAATAAGGTGGGGGTCAAGGGGGATACGCCTAACGGTGGGACAATCATTTCCCCTCTAATACATTGTTAGAGGTTGAATTCAATGTGGAAGGCGTATATTTAGAGATTGGAGCACATATTATGGTATCCCAAGGTATGTGGACCGCGATATAACCCTGTTCGATAAGTGGATGCGAGAAAGTTTAGGTTAAAGTTTATCTTCTTAATAGGGTTTTGACAAAATGTTTTGGCACATGCATGATTAAAAGATCTACCTCTTTGAGTGTGATGTGTAGTCGGTTCAAGAAGCTCGGGCTTGGCTTTGTATGCGCTCATGAATGGATAAGGACACATGGCCTGCAATAGCGTCAAGTATAAACACTTAAAAGAGTAGTGTGGAAACTCGTGTGTGTAATCTTTAGGTACTCAAATGGGTTGAAAGGTTCAATCCATAGGACACCCGATTCTCGACCCTTGTGTTATTTATGTGTTCATCAACCATGTATAGATCAAAACCAATATACCACATATGATGCCTGGAGGTTCAGTGTACATTGCATGGGTATTGATTTGATTTGTTAATTTTCATTTTCTTATCCCCCCTCCCCCCCAAAAAAAAGAAGTAAAAAAAATCCACAAGGGAAAACAGCAATGTATGTTGGTTTCAAATTTATAGTTAAGAAACCTTCAAGTTCCTAACCTTTCTTTGATATTTTACTATCTGTTCTGCATAAGCTCTTTGCGATCATGTCAATCATTTCAATGATTACACTTTTTACAGATTGTCAGGCCTTATAATTGATGTCTTCGGCGATTTAGCTGTGATAGCCTCTTCAGCTGCTTGGGTTGAGAAGTACAAGCAGCCTATTAAGAAGTGTATTAATGGTTTCAATGTGGTCAAGAGTATAATCTGGAGGTCATCAACCGAGATATTGAAAGAAGAAGGGTTAGATTTGGCTGATCTTGATCAAGAAGATTTATCTGAATCTCCTGAAAGGGTGAAGGTAAGAAATATTATACTCTTTAAAGTTTCATCTTTCAACCAGTTCCTAAATTTTTGAACCATGAACTGATCTGACAAGCTGTTTATCAGTATGCATATCTAGTGTCTAATCAGGTTTCATGCATGGATTTCTTAAGCAACAGGCGAGCATTAAAAACTGATCGGTCAACAAGTTTAAATGATCTGAGCCCCTGAACTTTTGCTGGTTTTTGTTCTCCTTGCCTGTTTTCTCATCCTCTATTTGCCTATTATCTAAGGTTTAGCCTTAGCCACTTAAGAGACTGGTACTAGAAACATAATTAAACATTTGATGAGCTAATTCATGCTCACATTGGTGGAAACACTTTACAGGGAAAATCAATTATTTTGTCACCACCTTCTTCGTATAGACTGATTTATTTATTAAAAATAAATATTATAGAAAAGGTAGGATCTTTTGTTAACAAAGAATATGATGTTAACTCTGAACTTATTGGTCCAATAAGATTCATTCTTTAGTAGAGATTACTTCAAATGTTTGATTTAATGATAAAGAACAAATAGGTAATTTTTGTGTGCAAGTTACTTTTATGGTGTTTAATAAGATGTTAAATTTTTTTTATGTGTAAGTTACTTGTATGGTTTTTAATGAGATATTACAAATTATTACTTGCATGTTTTTAGGGATCATAATAATATCATCATATTTCAAGATTCTAGAATAATTATGTTAATTTTAACATGAACAATGGTTAATCAAAGTGAACATGTTGCAGGTTCATATGTGAAATGTTCCCAAAACACACTCAACTTGTTCACCATATTAATTTGAATTGAATTTATACATAATGTTCATAGGTGTTCATAAGAATGTGTTCATAACCATAAGATCTTTATAAGAATGTGCTCACAGGTGTTCATAGATGTTCATAAAAATGTGTTCATAATCATAAGGCGTCCATAAGATTGTGTTCATAACCATATGGTGTTCATAGGTGTTCAATAAGATTGTTCGTAGGTGTTAACATGCCATGATCTTTTCCACAAATACCCCTGTTCAAGAATGCACACCAATATTTATTTCTGTTCTGTTTTTCATTTAATACAAATATGCCATGATTAATTTAATCCATAGATTTCAAGGATTAAGGGCTAAGATTGGTTCACATAGTTCACACCAAGTATTGGGTTAACAAAAGAACCAGTTCTATTATAGAATATGTCAAAAATATATATATGTTAACTACTTCTATTGTGTGGAATTATTGAGGTAGTTTGGTTTGGTTGTGTTAAGTATATCAATCGTTGCAACAATTCTGTGCAAACAGGAAACGAGAGTTTTAGTATTTCAAGAGCACTTTCTGTTGCTTCTTGTCAGGTTGTGGAGAATGGGATATCCTATATGGTCTCATTGGATGGACAAAAGACAGGATTCTATGCTGATCAGCGGGAAAACCGTCAATTCATATCGACCATCTCGGATGGTCAAAAAGTACTCGACATGTGCTGCTATACTGGTGGCTTTGCACTAAACGCTGCACGTAGTCATGCTTTGAATGTCACTGGTATCTACCACTTCTGTATTTTGCTTGATGATATCTTTGTTCCGATTGCGATCATGTGTTCGAAAATAACATCCTATCATATTGGTTTCGTCATGACAACTTTTTATTTGTGGTGCTTTTGAGGTTATTTTGTGTGCATCCATGTTGGCTTATATTTTAATATGAGTAAACTAGTGAACCTGCCTTCATTTCAATCATTATACTTCAATCATCACAAATATCATGAAGTGATTGGCTTTCAATTTGGTTTCTATAATGATACATAAGCCAAAGAACAAACGGAAAAACCAGAACCACCTGTATAATTAACTTCATATGTTAAGAACTCGCTACCTCATTGTAATATTTTCATGCAATCATCTTTTTCCAAACAACTGAATTTCGACACTGGCAAAAAGTGGACATGAAACAAAATATAGAATGGAGATGTTCCATATGTCATTGGTTTGCAGGTTTGATAGATAGCATGCTATGGCTCTAACCAATAGTCTATTCCATCGTATCCAAGATAGGGACAATTGACAAATGCACCTGCTTTTTCCATTATTTTCCTATCCATGATAGTCCAAAAAAGTCCACCAAAAATATTTTGTGGAAGAGAGATGGGGTGGTTCATAACCTCAATGCCATTTCCAAGGGGGGCCATTCTGCGTGGGCAAAGTGAGCATCATTTGTCAATACAAATTGGAAGTAGTTTTTTTCCTACCTGGAAGACATGTAATGTTGGAGGAAAACATACACACTCATGCACTGTGTGATGTGATGCCTCCTGAATTGGTTGTTGAAGCTTCTTTCAGCATTACTACTTTACTACAAAAGCAAGCTTGAATGTGGGTACTAAACTCATCATGGGTGTTATAACAGGATGTGCGTTTTTGTTCCTTTTTAGTCCTTTTTCAGCTAATCTATAATGCAGGTATATGCTCTCATCCAAGTCGCTTTTTTAATGTTCATTGATTCACAGGTGTTGATACGTCATCTCCTGCTTTGGAACTAGCCAACCATAATATTGTTCTTAACAACCTGGATCCAGGGAGGATATCATTCCTGAAACAAGATGCAACAGTTTTCATGAAGAATGCTGCTTCTCGAAATGAAGTATGGGACATAGTCATTATGGATCCCCCTAAGTTGGCACCTCGAAGGAAGGTATTGCAATGCTGACTCCATTAACTTAGAATTGATAGTCTTGAGAGCAAGTGCTTTCTTCTCTAACCAATTAACAAGAGTAAATGAAACGCCATACAACATGAGGATTCAAAGAGCCTCTACTATAAATCTGTTGGCAACTTATGATCGTAACATGTCAAGGTATTACAATGGTTAATTACTAATGCATTATGAGTCACTTAGGATATCAATGTTACAGGTAAGCATTAGTATTTTGATGGTTTGGTAGGAATGGACCACCGCAGCAAATCGAGTGCCTATTACTTTATGTAACTTGTTATGATCCATATGCAGCAGATTTATCCAGTTTCTATTCTAAAAAAATGGATTTATTAAAAAATTTCATCATCTTAGAGCATGCATAAAAGTTTTAATTGCTTGCTATCTTAGAGCGTGCACGAAACCTTCTGTATAAGTTCTTTTTGTACTTTCTGAACTCAGTTCCAAAGGTGGTAATCCTTGTATCAATTAATATTTAACTTCATAGTTGCTATTATTCTCTGAGTATGCTACTATTACATTAGACATTTAATATCATGAACATTACCATTCTCATCTTCACCAATACCATCTTATCAAGTTACATTGTTAAGCGAGCGCACAACTAACTAATTTCCATTGCTTTGGTAAAAGCCACTCATGTTGCAGTAGGTTACCTCTACCTCTGATATGTATTTTGGTCAATTAGCTGCTTTACATGGGTGTGTTTTTTTTAACATGGCTTCTGCAATCACCGGTTTACAACATTGCTTAGGTTGTGTCTTTTTAATATGGCTTCTGCAAATCACCAGTTTACAACATTGCTTAGGTTTATAGTTGGAACAAGTAAATCTAATTAGTAAAATAGAATGTAAGTTAGCATGGGTGCATTTTCCTTCTAGTGATCTAACTTTTGCTTCTACAAGATGTAGAGCATGGTTGGGTTTTCTTTCTAATTGTACCTTCGTGCATTAGTTTTTTTATGTAAGGATTTACTTGAATATGATTGCAAAGTAAATATTATGTTTTGAGTATCATATCAGGAACTGACAATATGGTGTGTCCCACCCCCAAATCATAGTGCAGGAAGGAAAGGTCCATTTTACCTATAGAAAATTTGGAAGAGTGTAGACAATAGAAGAAAATGCTTCTTTTTATTGGATGGGGGTTGAAAAATATGCTTGTTTTTATGAATGGCCATTGTGTTTGTTGCTGTTTGTTAAGTATTTGCTATACTGGAGTGAACAGTAAGTCGGTTAGTTTTGATAGTATGCATTATTTGCATGATATAGTTGAGATAAGTATTTGTGAAGAATCGGTCTCTGAGACAAAGGTTTTTGAGACCTGGTGGCTTTCTGTGGTGACTTGCAGGTAAATATGTTTTGACATATCTATTGCTATATAATAATGGTATTCTGGTTTTTGCTACTTAATCCAGGTTCTACAAAGTGCAAGTGGGATGTATAGGAATTTAAACTCACTGGCCATGCGGTTAACAAAACCGGGTGGGTTTCTGATGACTTGCTCATGTTCAGGAGCTATGACACAAAGTGGGCAGTTCTTGCCTGTTCTTCAGGCTAGTCTCCTACTCCCTTGTGTTTTCAAGCAATGATCATTCATTGACAGTTGTTGCCGTGACCTGTAATCCCCCACTGTTTTTTTTCTTTTTACTGATAGTGGAGTGGGTATTATTTGGTGCCTGTGACTGGAACAGTTTGATATGAAGATAACAAAGGCCGTTTTTGTTGATATTTGCAGGGTGCTGCGGCAATGGCTGGTAGGAAGATAACAGTATTACGCCAGGGTGGTGCAGCCTGTGACCATCCTATTGACCCATCTTATCCAGAAGGAGCCTACCTTTCCAACATTTTGTTGAGAGTAGTTTGAACATGGATTGGCTGCCACTAACCCTCTGGATTGCAACCTTCTTACACACAAAAAGATGAGAAAAACCAGAATAGAAAGATGGTTTTTTTTTTTTTTGGTTGG